TGGAGTGTTTGCTACAGCTGTAAAAATAAAGTCATTTCATGTTGCATACTTCTGTAAAAACAAAAAAACCAAATGCACAAGTTTTTTAAAAATTATTTTTACTTTCCTTGTAAAAACTCATTGATAATGTCAGACAGGCTATTTTTAAGTGATGGACTGCAAGTGGTCCCACTAGCAATTATTTTGGCAAAACAATGAACCTTCATTACTATTAAAAATAAGAAATTAAAAAAATTAAAATATTAAGAAATTCAAGGTAGATACATGTGCCATGGCACTAATTACTATCTATATTCATGCACAATTGATGTGCTTATGCCAACTGAAACAATAACTTAAAAAAACAACTTGAGATTTAAATCAAAGCAAGATAACCAAAATATCTTCAAAATTATCTTCAGAGTTCAGAAAGGAGGTAACACAAATGCTCATTTACCTCTACAACCCCCCCTCCCTGCTCTAGCATGAAATGCCAATAAATATTCAAGTATAAGAATAATTACCTAGGAAATAATTTCTCTAGTGCAACTGGTCACAATTTTAATTTTGAACCAAACTGGCCTCTCTATAAGCAGGCCTCTCTCTCTGATCTGAATTTAGAAGGAACTGGTCATGCATTAATCTGACAAATAGTCTATAGTGTTAAAAATATCAGTGCAGTCTTACTGGCAACAAAGATATTGGAACCAATTGGAACCAAAAGAAGAAGGGAAGAAGGTTTCAGATGCTCATGTTCTGCCTGCAACATTATCTTAAGTGTATATAGCAGATGTCAATGATGCACATAGCTCAGTTGCCTACAAAATGAAATTCATTACATCTTGGCTTGTATATCCTGTGAATATAGCACATAAAAATGCTATAAAACCAAATATTTGAAAGCCTCACTAAACAAAATTGTAATTGGTTGCAGTTTGTCAGACTACAGTGTTATTTTAAATGAAATTTTCTATGAAGTTATCAAATTTGTTCAATAATGTGTTACTTAGAGTTCAGGGGTTTAAGACATTAAGTGGTAAAACCATGCTTTTCAACTGAGAGAGTTAATTCTAAAATTTTCATTATATTATGCAATCCCAATCTGCTCAACTCCAAAATTCCTTGGGAGGCTTGCTCAATCTTTTCATCTCTGATACGCAGGGTAAGTCTCACAGCTGTGGATGAATTTCTGAGCAATCCTTTGGCACTTCCCTGCTTTAAGTAGATTGTCAGATCTTGCGTAACTGCCATATAATAGATACTAAATAACTGTTTTTTCAGTTAAATGGAATAGAATTGAATTCTGCTTCCTAAATCATTCCTTCCCCTACACCCTTCACCCCCTTTTGGCCTCATGTTTTGTATCTAAGAACTAAAATAAGGGCTAATGCCAGAATTCAAAGACTAAGCAGTAGGCAGACTGCTCATGAAAATATCAACCAACCAACCCATTCCAGTAATCCTTGCTAAAACAGCAACCCAACTAGGCCACCAGCAACCCCTCCACACAACCACATTTAGCCTGTGGGATTACCACAGGGAGATATGATATACTCCATGTACTTGGAAATCAATATACTGTACAGAGCATCTAGTTACTTGCCAATCAGGGAGGCAAGGACTGCACCAGTGACTGAATCCAGACTTGCTGTCAGACAATAGCTGTGTCTATATTAGCAAGTGTTACGTACATAAACTGGAAATCTGGAAAATAAAACAGTTGGTGTTGAAGTCTTGACACATACACCATACGTATTTTGTGGGCTTTACTTTGGACTCGCTCTGCCATGGATCAAATGCCTAGTAGTAGTTGGAGCATACTTTTTTTTTGTTTCATTTCATCTGAAAGTAATGTGGCTTGAGTATTTCAAGACTGCTTTGTGATGTGAAACAAGGAATGCTAGATGCGAAAAATCTGAGTATTTGCCCCAAAGCTGCTGCTGATTTGAGCTAAAATGCTAATGCAGATTAATCCACTGCAACCCCTTTTTTTTAGGCCACTATGTAAGAGCATGGATGCAAAGGACAGGACAAGATACTGTTTAAAAAATTACTATTTAATGTCAAACATGGACAGTGAGAACACAAGCTAGTTCTCAAGGACTTCAGAATCAGTGCAGTGATTTGTATCTACAAGGCTGCTGCAACACACATAGAGATCACAAGTGAAAGTTCTAAGAACTTTATACTAATTTTGCACTTCTCTAATTCACTAAACAAAGCCCAGATTAAAAGACAGGAATCAGAGCAGTGTCAGTAAGATGTTAAAAGGAGTTTTTTAACCAATGGAGAATAGAAGATGGATTTTTTATGAGCAAAAATTCATAGATGCATGTGCTCCAGTGGTGAGTGGGGACAAGGTCAAGAAGTCCTTATTAGCGATGAAAACAGAATTGAGTTGGAAAACTTCCTGTTCATGGGCAGAAGGCAAAGACAAAGTAGTATGGGTCTCCAAAGGAAAGAGCTTAGTAGCACAAGAAAGATCCATCTTAACCCTCTTTTTGAGTTCTTTAGAGTAAGGGAAAAGAATCAATATTAAAAAAACCACTATAACCACATTTAAAAGAAAGGATATAAATAAATTTTTTTGTTCATTTTTAATATATTAGATTTGCTCAAAATAATTTTTAAAGAGAAGTGTTAAGCCACAGTAAATGTTAACACTAAATTTTTAGTATTTATCACTCCTGTCATTTATGCGGCTGAGACTTAACTCACACAATTCACCCTTCCAATTTTGGTCTTTGAAAGATGTTATATAGCCTTTTATATTAGAAAAAAAAATCCTAAAAAAAAAAAGATTATACCACTAGCAATTACATTTTTTCAAAGTACAAAATGGAGAAAAATCCTGCTGAGAAAACCATGTCAATATCTCAAATTTTAGTAAACACTTGTTTTCAAAGTGGAACAAAGACATTACAGGTAAAAAAAACCAACTACCTTTTGAAAATGCTATAAATATTTTGATCACATTATGTAAGTAGTTTGATAACAAACAGAAAAGACACTAAATATCCTGTTAAAATCCCATGGGAATGCCTGGGGAAAAAAGCATTAGATACAGTTTTCTGAGCTTAAAAATCTATACCAGCTTATTTTCATGAAAATCACATGGAATATAAAGTTTTAAAAAATAAATGAGTGTATTTGGCCTTACTGGACACACAGTAATGCTTTGCTCCCATTGACTCATGCTCAGACTTTCTTCCAGAGTTGTACACTTCTTCATCACCATGTCCCAGCCACAGTAAGGGTCTTGGGATCCAATGCACGAACTGCAAATGAAAACCAATGAGAAAATGTGAACATTTATCTTTGTCTGTACTGGACAAAGTTCTCTAAATAACTATGTGGCATCTCTTCATATTTCATAGGCCTAAAACAAATAGTGAAATTGATTCTTGTTGTGGTATGACACATATGAAATGACAAAACAGGAGAAAAATGAATTTGAATGCCTGCAGAAAGCCAGGATTTCTTTTAAGTACATAGCTGAATTTCTGGCTGCATGTATGGTATGTTGTCAAGACTGATTATTCTACTTAATTACTAGAGAATTACAGCAATTCATAAAAAGCACATGTTGTCTGCTCCAAGATTTCAGGACTTAGAGCTCCTAGTCTTTTCTATCAGTCTTGGAATTATACTTATCACCTTTGTCAGAAATCAGATGACAATGTCTACTATTTGAAAAATAAGTAGAAACCCTTTGTTCTGTTTTGTTTTCTGCACTGCTATAGAATCCCTGGAAGTAAATTCAAAGGGGTGCTGGTGGCTGCCATCGCACCTCTCACATCTCACCTGCTGCCCTAGACAGTCTCTTCCAGTGGCACATGAGAAGAAAAAAAGGTTAGAGAGGAGGATGGTAGTCCAGCTTCCAACAGACTCTGAAGGACCCACTTTACAAAACCAGAAGTGATTTTCTCTATTAAATGACAGCTTTCTCTAGCTTTGTCCTCACAAATCCTGTGTTTTATTCATATTTCTATTTATCTCTGGCCTTTCTTATGTAGTTCCACTCTAACATCAGACAAAATGCAGACTTACTAATTCCCTAGTATGCTATTCTACAATAACATCACAGAGGATTCTTAGTGCTTATAAATTTCAATGAATTATTTTCTACAGTAGACTTAGCAACATGGATTGCCAGTACTATGTAGGACGATAGTTCCCATCTACAAAATGGGCACAGAGCAAAAGACATAGCCAAAACTCCCTAGGAATCCCTAATTAGGCTGCCAGTTTTAAGATAAACCTTTTGGTCTAGGGGATTCAGTGTTCAGAAGAGAGGTCCCAATGATGGTTTTTGCAGCTGTGAGTGGTTACAATTTTTGGAACTCAGCCTCCACATGTTTCCATTTAACTATCTAGAAAATGAGGAGGACAATTAATGCAGACTATGGAAAATTTTAAGTGTCTTGGCCTTCCAGTGTTTGCAAGACAAGATGTTCAGTGATCTCCTTCAGAGTACCTCTGATAAAGCATATGTTTTTTAAAAAAAAAATTAAAAGTTAAAGACTGACATAATACACAATTAGCAATTTCAGCTGTGTTATTTCTTAAAGTAGAAGTGCTCAATTTTCCAACTTCATTATTACTTTATGTTAAGTGCTAATATTTTTTTTATGCAGTTATGCTTTAGACACTTTTTATTAAAAAATGAAATCTTTTAAAAGGCAGTACTCTTTTACTTAGAACCACACTCCCTCTTTTCTGGGAGTAAACTGATCCTTCTCCCACTTTGCTTTTAAATCCCATTCCCTCTTTTGCTTTTGCTTCCACACTACTTTCCACTCAGGCAGATCAAAATGGCTGGCACCTTTCATGACAAGTCAATTAGAAGCTATAACTAGGGCTCTTTTGACCATTCTTATAACTTTCTGGTATCACAACAGATCCTAGTTTCATGGAAGAAATAAGGTAAAAAAATGCTGAGAAGTCCTTGTACTGCCGGGACAAAGATTGTTCAATAACTTTGTGGATACCGAACTTGGCCATTTCAGTAAGTGAACAGGTTTGGAGAGTACTGCAGCAAGATAAAATGAGGTAAATATTTTCAGAATTTAGTTAAGAAGGTCCACTGAGCATAAGAACACTGTTATTTTAGTAATTTAATAACTCTGCTAACCTCATGCAAAGGAAAAGAGGCTAAGTGTGAAGAACTTCCTCCAAAAATGAGAGGGATTAACAGTCTTCAATATTTTCTTTTCTTTACACTACAATACATAAAATAATACTAGAAACATGAACTATTTCAAACAAAACAATGGGAAATTTTGTCTGAGAAGTATTTCTCACATGTAAAACTCTAGGTTGTTTTTTTCCTAATGTTCTAAATGATTGTTCCAGTCATTCTTATATCCAAGTCTCATTTTGTAAAAAGTTTAAATTTTGAAATATTACTTCAGAAAGAAAAGCAATACCATGAAAGTATAGTTCAACATCATCACCCTCTTTCTGACATTTCAGTTCATCATGACAGATATATTCATGAAATTAGCCAGGACCTGGCTTAAATAGCTGCCCTGTTCTCAGGTTTTGGCAAAACAGTCACAGAATCACAGAATGGTAGGGGTTGGAAGGGACCTCCAGAGGTCATCTAGTTCAGCTCCCCTGTCAAAGCAAGTTCACCTACAGCAGGTTGCACAGGATCGTGTCCAGGTGAGTTTTGAATATGTTCAAAGAAGGAGACTCCACAACGTCTCTGGGTAGCCTCTTCCAATGCTCTGTCACCCTCAAAGTAAAGAAGTTTTTCCTCATGTTCAGATGGAACTTCCTGTGTTCCAGCTTCTGCCTTGTTGTCCCTTGTCCTGTCACTGGACACCACTGAAAAGAGTCTGGCCCCATCCTCTTGACAGCTGCCCTTTAGATATTTACAGGCATTAGTAAGATCCCCTCTCAGTCCTCCCCAGGCTAAAGACATCCAGGTCTCTCAGCCCTTCCTCATATGGGAGATGCTCCAGTCCCTTCATCATAGTAGTTCTACACTGAACTCTCTCCAGTAGCTCCTTGTCCTTCTTGAACTGGGGAGCCCAGAACTGGACACAATATTCCAGATGTGGTCTCAACTAGGGCAGTGTAGAGGGGGAGGAGAACCTCTTTCAACCTACTGACCACTCTCTTTTTAATGAACCTCAGGATGCCACTGGTCGCCTTAGCCACAAGGGCATATTGCTGGCTCATGGTTAACTTATTGTCCATCAGGACTCCCAGGTACTTCTCTGCAGATCTAATCCTTTTCTGTTCTCCTCCTTGACTCATGTCTCAGAAAGTTTTCTTATTTATTACTTTTAGATCACTTGCTTAGATGACAAATATCTCTGGAAAGTAGATGTATATTCTTTTAAATGAAAAGAATAAGAAAGGTAGTATGTGGATAAATGTTTATCTGTATTTGCTTAATTATGTCACCTTTTAAAACCAGTATCTTTTTTTTGAGGGATAATTTAATGTGTGAATAACAGCAGCTAATTATTTTGATCTGCTCTGCCTAGATTAAACAAAAAAAAACAAACCCCAAGCAACAAACAATGAAGCAAAACCAACAAACAGATAACTAAGTTTACGGATAGAAAATGAGGAAACAATAAAGCTTGTAAATATGAAAATATCAGAACTTCTATCTGAAATATTAAATTTAAAGAGACTATCATTAACTCACAATTATGTGTCCTTTCTGTCCTCCATCAATGAAAATTTTATACTGTTTTAACTCCTTTTTAAGGAATCTCTGTCACAACAGAGAGTAGAAGAGGAACAGCTTCAGCGTATCCATGAAATAACAAAAGAAATTGTACTAAATGGCTGCCACATTCATGTAAGTAACTAAAGCCAAAAATTAGATAACACTACACATCTTTATCCCTGTCTCCTCCAGAATCTCTATCTAAATTAAAGCCATTTTAGATGCCACTCTTAAAATTAGATAAATTTTAAAATTAGTATTAGGTCTTTCTCTTGACAGGGCCCTTTCAGCTAGTGACACTGGAAGTAGCAGAGCTGGATAATAAATTAGACATCTTGTCTCTGAAACTCTACATTACACTTCCATTTCACCAGCAATGAAAATGAATGTTTTGTCTGCTACTCCTGGTAGGCACCAGTTCATATCTCTAAGACTTCACTTGATTTGTCCCAGCACTGCTAAAACTGGCAATTTTGTGCAGGAAGGAAATTCTGAAATAAAAGTGAATTGGTTCATTCTAAGATTCTCGATGCCACTTACTCTGGCAAGTCAGCACTCTCTACAAAAACATTCAACAGCTTTTGGGTTCTACTGATTGTTTCTAATTTTCCTCTATGTTGTCATTTCACATTTTTTACCAAATGTAAATGATAGGTAGTTGAGTGTCTCTCCTGCAAGACATTCATTTGGCTGTGATGGTTTGGTATACCTACTGACAGTCATGCAACATTTAAACAATGTATTTTGACTGACTAGTAACAGAACCGTAAGTCACCTCACTCTAAAGCAAGCCAGCAATGGCAGGTCATCTTCCTCAGCTAATTTAGAACTATCTTCAAGCAGTCTAGCAAAACTGCTCTACTTCAGTTACATTTGAGATTATTTATTCAGACAGAAAATGAGGCAGAAATGAACACCATTCAGAGCAAAATATATATAAAAACCATACAGTTTTAGACTAAAAATAATTCTTTATGTGTGTTCCAAAGAACAAAAAAACCTCATAAGATTAAAAGCTATATCCTGATACCATTGATTTCAAAGAGATTTTAAAATCTCCTTTCAAGGGAACAATATATTCCTATATCAATATACATTGTAAGTGCTAATCAGCTATTCCCTTGAGTTGCAACATTTTATTCAGAGAAAGTGTCATAAACATAAGAGGTGTATCTTCTGATAATGTCCAATGAAACATTTTTCTGTCTTGTTTTATACACAGCATTTTGAAGAGCAGAGGATATTTGAGTGTCCTGACCCCTTCAAATCATTTATCTTGAGATAGCCATGCCTACCTAGTTCCAATCACTGTCAACTCTGATCTGGACACTTTGTATACCAGAAACTGAACAGGGGTCACCATCTTATTGCACAGAAGTCTGACTGCTCACTGGAAATTGAAACAGACAACTGTAGATAAAAGCCTGTCTTATGTTCCACGGTCTCATGTTGAGCACTATGCTACCTACTTCTGAACAAATACATGAATCTGGTACCAGACTTCTGTACACAGGTATTTATCAGTGTTTTCATTACTACTGGTTTTGTAAAGACATAGATATATGTGTGTGTGTGTGTGTGTGTGTA